GGTTAGGACTGACAGAAAGGTAGTCGCATGGTGGCACCCAGCCAGGAACCCTCGGTGAGCCCGGAAGGATCTACTCCAGCACCCAAGCGAACGTATAATCCGAGTTTGAGAATACGAATCCAGGAGCATCCACAGGAGCTTCATGGGGATCTGCAGGGGCCTGGCCCCAACGATCAAGGCATCATACCTCGCAGCCTTCCAGCATTTTCACATATCAGAAAACACGGTACTAGAGCATTCACCTAGCCGATGAGCAATTCCAGCCTGGATGTTGTGCTCATGTGCCAAGAAACTGGATACATAACCTCTGCGGTTACCCCAAACCTGTCGATTACCGTGATCTCAGGTCCATTCCCTCGATGACGATCGCCTGGATCTAGACCACAACCTGACTAGGCTCTCGGCTAAGGTGCTCAATCTGCGCCCCCCGTCTGGCTGAGTTATGCGAACCATCGCGTGGACGGTCCTATCGGATGGCCACGTCAGCGCGTGCTCACATGCCGCAAAGAGAAAACAGAGAGCAACGAGTCCTGGCTGAAACAAATACCGAATAGCTCATGGATGCAGGCGCGTAGGTCCCACTGCTGTTTTCCAAGCAAGCGTGAGGCCGACAGCCTGCGCATCCTCGGGGCTCGACTTGGGGTGGTCGTCCCAGCTTTCATGGTCCGGCGGCAACATATTTCTCGATGCATTATGAAAGCTCTATACTTCACTCCAGCAGTCCATCCCGCGATCTGCAAGTTGATGCGGATGAGAGTCACCCGTATGTGTGACAGCTGCTTCCATGGCTTTTGTCTTAGATGCGCGATGCGCTGCTCCTGCACCCCTCTCGACTGCCGTTGTGACCCATGCTTGCCGAGACCTGTCCGCCTCCTTCTGTTGAATCTCCATCGTAGCATCTGCAGTCTCAACCACTCTGCGCGCCAAACTCAGAAACTTTTGACTCGCCGGCGCACTGTAGTCAGCCGAAAAGAAGAGACATCCCAATCATCCAGACGCGGCAGCGTGTCCTGCGCCAAATGCACGTTGCCCGAGATTGCGACGTCGACCGGCGATCTCGCTTGCCTCGCAGTCGGTGCGAGCAACTTGTGACTCTTGCACTTTCCTTTGTGATCATCTCGTTGACGTGCCTTTTTGTGGTGCACCTCCGCCAGGGCCATTTTTTTTTGGTGGGCCTTTGTCGAGCTCGAGTGGGGGCGTTTGGCCTTGGCCCTGCTCCGGGCCTCAGCCATCTCCTCGGGCGCGGTTTGCAGCGCCGCCGCCTTGCCAATGTGCGGGCTTTCTTTACCTGGTAGGTAGAGCTTACCAGCGCATCTGCGTCCATTCCGACACTCGTTCATCTTCCACCAGAACGCACGTACCTTCATCAAATGCTTGGCCCATCTTGCTGCTTGCAACCATGCTCGCAGTCGAGGGGCATGCTGCAGCCGCGCTCTTGCAGGTTCCCACTGTGCCCTAACGAACTTGGTTTGAAAGGTCCACCTCGGCCAAGGATGCATTCATTGCCTGCGCCAGCCTTGTCGTAGCGTCCACGTAACGCCTGTTCAACTGCCATCAGTACCATGTCCCATGCATGCTGCAGAGTTGCCTGATCATCAACATCTTCGATAGCTCTCATGACTGGCACCCCATCCGTAGGAAACCACGAGGCACCAATATTCGGCCCCTTGGACAACTGCCGTGGCTAAGCGGGAAGCCGCAACCATATGTCACGATCCGTGCTGGCAAATGGCAAGGCCACAAGCGAGTGCGTGGGTTGAACCTTGTCATCCAGGATCTTCGGTGCGCCCGCTCTCGGTGCAAGCGGTTCGCTTAGTAAGTGCCAATCATCTGTGCGCCCTTCAGTATTCTTGCGCACCCTGCATGTGGCTCCAGCTGGCACTAAGAACATCGTCTGAATCTGCTCGAGCCATGCCTCCCCTCGAAGCTGACGTGATTCAAGATTCCAGTTACCACCGACGTCTGGTGGCCCCGAGAGCGAATTGAGTCTTCCAGAATTTTGTGCCAGCTTGTAGAGCGCCGACTGGTTGAACGAGCCGGGTCCGACCGAATCTTTCAGCTACAGCGAGACCAGCACCGCCCCATCTTTCCATCTCCAGTTCACCTGTGCAGCAACTGCTTCGGCAAGCCATATGGTTGGTGAGGCTAGCAGCGGTGGCGCCGTAATCGTCGCAAGCGTTGCCGCAATGCCTGCCGCCCCTGCGCTGAGACCATCAGGTTCCGTTTTCCCAGCAGCTGAATGTACTCCATGGTAACCGATGTCCTTGGGCTGCTGCTGGAGCTTGGGCAAAATTCCCCCGCCCGGCCAATGCTCCTGAACCAAAATAGATGCATCGCGTGCCTGCTCAACATATTGCAACAAAGGTCCAGCAGCATCAGAGCTGACCGTGGTAATCGGTGCCTCCATCTTCTGGCCACGTGCCTGATCATGCTTGATGGCGTGGGGCAACCCTTTACTTCCTCCTGACTCCAGCACACTACGATGTCACGTCCAGCAGCTGCTCGCCACCACGAGCCGACGAGGGAGGCCCAGGGGGCCTGAGGCCAAGGGCCCCATGGCCCCATCCACAGCTCAAGGACACCCAGGCGATAGAGCAAGGGTCGACTTGGCATTCAGCCTGCATCCCATGTGAGAAAACACCCGATCAATATCGGGTCCCAACTCAATCACGGAAGAACCATCATCTGCAGCCAATACCGAAGATCCAGTGGTCGCCCTCGACGTAGAAGCTGCCCTCTCACAATCCTTCTTAGACGCCACCACCAACGTAGTAACATGCCACAAAACATCACTTAGATCGTGCTAGTACGCCTGGAGCTTGTTCTACTGCTTGAAGTGGAGAAGCTTCTTGGCAGCGCCACGCAGCTCCGCCAGGTCCGTTGGCGCAGTGACTCCAGCTGACTCCAGCACAGTCTTGAGCGCGTCCTCACCGGCCTCGTCCAGAGCCTTCTGCTTCGCCTCATTGGCCGCATGCTCCTGGGCAGCAGCCACGCTGGCAGCCTTGCCATCATCAGCCACCACACTCGACGCACCAGCCCTGCCCACAACTGTGACTCCGACATTGCCAATGCTATGTGGAAGAGCATGAGCAATACCATCGGCCAACTTGTCGGCTTGGTCTCCTGCTCTTGGGCCACGTAATACTTTGCCCAACATCGTTGCTTCAAGCCCAATTGCAGTGACCTGACCACCACCGTCACCGCCAACACCACCAGGTGGCTTGACTGAGGCCCAAGTAACTTCCATTGCCTGGGCACACATCTCTCATCCAGCTTGGCCTTCTTCTCCGCCACAGCCTTCTCAGCCTCATCGATCTCATCTTGCAACTCTTGTAGCCGCAACCGCTTGTCCTCGATGGCTTTCTCCTGATTGGCGATCTGGCCACCCATAGTCTCGATCTTACGAATACGATTGTGCATCCTAGCCGCCGCACGCTTCCGCTTTTTGATGTCCGCCTGTATGCCATCTCTCTCCTCCGCGAGCGCGGCCTTGAGAGTGGCCCAGGCGGGTCCTTCACATCTACTGGCAATGTCAACCTGCTTGTCCAAGTCAGCCAGCCTCGCACGAGCCTTTCCTCCATTGATCTGCTCATCCTGAGGGACTCCTGCATTGGCCTCCTCGCTAGCGTCGACGTCCATGGTATCCAGCTCCTTTGTCGCTGACTTGCTCTTCTGCTCCTTGCGCTGAGACTCCAACTTCTTGATGGTGTCCTGAGTCTGTTGGAGCTGCAGTTTAGTCGGGCTCCGAGGTGCCATCTATGAAACTCGCCTGCTGGGACTGCTCGGCACCTTGTAGCGATGGAAACATGCAACCTTGGAACGTCTGCATTGATAACATACTTCTCTGTCTGGTTAGTTGAGCCACTTCTCTCCCGTCCGAGCATGAAGGCAGAACGTGCAGAACCATGTGCGATCAACAGTGCCTGCAAAACTACCAGGGAGGGTCGGCGCCATGGCTGGGCCCCGCGGGAGGGCGCGCGGCGCACCGTCCTGGCCATTCCGTAGCCAGGCTCGCGAACCCCCAGCCCTTCTGAAGTGTTGGGGTCCGCAAGCACAAGCAATTTGTGCCAGAAGGGCTGAGGAGGAGGAGGAGGAAAAGGAGGAGGAGGCGGAGCAGGAGGCGGAGGAGAAGGAGGAGGAGGAGGAGGGGAGGAGGAGGAGGAGGAGGAGGAGGAGGAGGGGGGAGGAGGAGGCGGAGGGAGAAGGAGGAGGAGGAGGGGGAGGAGGAGGAGGAGGAGGAGGAGGAGGAGGAGGGGGAGGAGGAGGGAGGAGGGAGGAGGAGGAGGAGGAGGAGGAGGGACAAGGGGAAGACAACTCTCGCAAACCACTGTGGAACACCCTCAGACGAATCACACATCACTTACGCCAACAGGTGGAACTCCGCGCGGATCTCTGGAGTCGACGCTGGCCCCCCCTGGCGCGCGGAGCGCGTCGGGGGCGGCGGGGCCTGGGCACCGACCCGAGAAACCCGCGCGGAGATGCAAAAGCGTATGCATGCTTGTGCAGTGTCTTCTTCTTCTTCTCCTCCTTTTTCTTCTTCTGCTTCTTCTTCTGATTCTTTTTCTTCTACGTATTCTTCTTCTTCGTCTCCTTCTTCTTCACCTCCTCCTCATTATTCTCCTCCTTCTCCTCCTCCTTCTTCTAATTATCCTGATTCTTCTCCTTATCCTCCCTCTCCTCCTCCTCCTCCTCCTCCTCCTCCTTTTTTCTTCTTCTTCTTCTTCTTGTTCTTTGTCTCCTCCTTTTTTGAGGGGCAACGATAGGGGGGGACAGGCACAACGGGGGATGTATCGAACTGGAATCGGCGATACATCGCCGATAGATCGGCGACAGGTCCCCGATAGCGAAGCGGCACCTTCCTGGGCGGGGTGGCACTATCAGACCACTATCGGCGATCAATGGGCGATCAGGTGTCGACGCATCCCCCCTATGCCTATCCCCCCTGCCCTTGGCCCCGATTCCTCGAGAGGAGAAGCATGAGGCAGAGGAAGAGGGATAATGGGGGGAGACAGCTCTCGCGAGCAATGGTGAAACACACTCTGGAAGCCAGACCACCGCGGGCCGTCCAAAGGTAACGCCTGCACAAGCGCTACCGGCCGGAGCCGCCCGCGGCGGTGGCGTTCTGCGTCAAGCTGCCGGTGCCTCTCAGCGCGCCTGTCCAGTGCGCGCGGGGGGGGGTGCGCGGCTGTGGCGGGGCGCGCCCTCGGGGGTCCAAGATCCTCCTCCTCCTCCTCCTCCTCCTCCTCGTCCTCATCCTCATCCTCATCCTCATCCTCATCCCTCGTCCTCGTCCTCGTCCTCGTCCTCGTCCTTGTCCTCCCTCCTCCTCCTCCCTCCCTCCCTCCTCCCTCCTCCCTCCTCCCTCCTCCCTCCTCCCTCCTCTCCTCCTCCTCCTCCTCCTCCTCCTCCTCCTCCTCCTCCTCCTCCTCTCGCTCTCCTCCGCTCTCCTCCTCCTCCGCCCTCCGCCCTCCCCGCCCTCCGCCCTCCTCCTCCTGCTCCCCTGCTCCTCCTGCTCCTCCTGCTCCTCCTGCTCCCCTCCTTCTCCTTCTCTCTTCTCTTTCTTTCTCTTTCTTTTCTTTCTCTTTCTCTTTCTCCTCCTCCCCCTCTCTCCTCCATTCTCCCTCCTCCCTCCTCCCTCCCTCCTCCTCTTCCTCCTTCCTCCCTCCTCCTCCTCCTCCTCCTCGTTCCTCCTCCTCGTCCTCCTCCTCCTCCTCCTCTTCCTCCTCCTCGTCCTCCTCCTCGTCCTCCTCCTCGTCCTCCTCCTCGTCCTCCTCTTCCTCCTCCTCCTCCCTCCTCCTCCTCCTCCTCCTCCTCCTCCTCCTCCTCCGCCTCCTCCTCCTCGTCCTCCTCGCCCTCCTCGCCCTTCTCGTCCTCCTCGTCCTCCTCGTCCTCCTCGTCCTCCTCGTTTTCCTCGTCTTCCTCGTCCTCCTCGTCCTCCTCCTCCTCCCTCCTCGTCCTGCTCCCCCTCCCTCTTCCGCCTCCTCCGCCTCCTCCCCCTCATCCTACTTCTCCACCTCCTCTTCTTCTTTTTCTTCCTCCTCATCCTCCTCTTCCTCGTTCTCCTTCTCCTTCTCCTCCTCTTTCTCCTGCTCCTGCTCCTGCTCCTGCTCCTCCTCCTCACCCAGCCCCTACGCCTTTGCGCTGCCGAACAGAAACCGCGACGAGATGTTCTTCATGTTTCCTGCCTCTGGGGGCCCTCACTGGGCCCCAGGACCATCGACAAACGACTCGGGATGAACACCCAGTTCCAAGGGAGGGGCCCATCACGAGCTGCGAACATATCTGTGTCCGCGCCCTCGCGGTCTGGATTATGGAGCGCGATCCCGCGGACACGCGGTCGCACGGATACGTTCCGCGCGGGGCATCCGCGAGCATATGCCCCCATATTCCCGGGGTCGCGGCCCAGGGGCCCAGCCCGCGAGGCCGTGGGTAGGGATGTGTTGCTCGTTGGGCGCGAACTAAGGGGGGGCGAGAAAAGAGAGGGAAGACAGGTACCCTTGTCGGGCCCTAAAGGCCCCCTGAGGGGCCCTAAAGGGCCCCCTGAGGGGCCCCTGTGGGCCCCTGAGGGCCCAGAAGGCCTCCTTTCCTGCAGCCCTCGCTGTCCCCCCCTGTGGTGCTCCTCGATTGCGCGTCCTCCGACTTCGCCTACGACTCCACGCCTCTAGAGAGGTCCCCTCCCTTGCCCGTTCCCTCTCCCTGCCTTCTTCGCATTGGCACCGGTCGGATCCAGGAGGAGGAGGAGGAGGAGGAGGAGGAGGAGGAGGAGGAGGAGGAGAAGGAGGAGGAGGAGGAAGATGAGGAGGAGTAGGAATAGCAAGATGACGGTGTCATATCTACCTACTGGTCGAGAGCGATCTGCCATCACGGCAGCACTCCGAACCTTGGGCACAAGACCTCGCCTGATACGATCCAGGTAGTCACGCCTGGTCCGATTCAGGGGCTTGTGACACGACTCTCTGAGATCGCTCCGAAGGTTGTGTGAACAAAAGAAACCGCACTTCCCGCAGAGCCATATCCCCAGAGTGTGGTGGACATTTAATTCGTGCGATTCGTGTGCCCACCCCCCCAGCAATGTGCAGCCTGACCCCCTTAGGCTTGTGTGAGACGACCGACTCGACAGTGATGATATCAAAACAGGACGAGCCTAACCACTCCTTAGCATTGGTCAGGGTGGCATTACTACAACACCGAGTGCATTTAAGCCCACACTCACTGAGGGTGAGGGAGGTGCTGCAACGCGCGGCTACTATAGGCTTAGGACAGGGAGAGGGGGAGGCGGAGGGGCAGAAGCCTCAGTGCCACCGCGTGCAATGGACATACGGACTTCACTTTCTGCGACTTGTTCGGCAACTGCGGCCTCGAAAGAGGCTCGCAACAAACGTCCCCGAACAAGTCCAATTTTACGTGCAGAATCATCGATCCGTGCATGAATGGACCCACCAACCCTGTGCCGCTCTGCAGCGCTTTCGGCCTGCGTTCCCGATCAGCATCCAGTTATCAACGTGTCTCCTGGCCGCATCCTCAGCTGAAAGGTGTGAAGGAATCTGAAGAACAACGAACTCCGACGGATCTCTGTTTCTGAAGTGCCTGCCAACTTCATGCCATAAGCTACTCAACTCTCCTGTGCACTTGATGTACTGTTTATCATGCCAGCACACAGACTCGTTGTCGGTAACAAAAATGGTGGACCCAGCAGAGCCTCGGGCTGCCCACTCGAGGGCACGCAACTCTCCTCGAGGGACAGACTGAACTCGCCCTGTCAAGGGCCCTGAAACTGTGGTATGGACTGCTGTCTGTACGGTATCTGAAATAACAACCAACCCAATGCCGACCCGCCTGAGCGTCGGGAAGCGACTGTCCCCGCCTCCTGAGGCATCACCACAGATGAGGAGCGGGGCGTCGGCTCTACACGTGCCCAAGCTCCCCGGCGCCAGTGTCTGGATGTTGGAGTTGGTGATGACCAGGTGCTCGAATTCAGCTGGCGGTGTCGTCCGTGTGAGGCCTGCTGGAATGATGCCACGGAGCCAGAAAGCAGGTGTTGCCTCGGATTGTGTCGGCGCCTCGGGGACTAGGTCGTCCGTGGAGCTGTAGGCCGTGGACCCGCAGTTGGCTCGACATAGCCATCCTCGGTGAAACATCGTCTCTGGTGCTTCCTTGCACCTCAAACGAAAAGGGGACTCACAGAAACCAAAATCGTACTTGCGCTGCCTGGTCCAGCAGCCGCCTGTGGAAATGGTGAGCAGGAGCTCCGCAAGCTTGGCACCGTGGGGCATCTCACGAAGGCGAGCCAAGAGCGTGCGCAGCGAGTCGTTGTCCGCGCCGTGCTCGAGGCCCTCTCCACAGTGCTCCTGCGAAGCCTGTTGCCAGAGATCTCCTGCGAGCGATTCAATGAAATCAACAAAAAATCCGATGTGTCCACATGCTTGGAGGCTATGATGTCGCCGTCGAAAGTCCAAGCCACTTCTGGATAACCATGGCGTGCGAGTCTGGTCCAGCGTGGCGGTGTCTGGGGTCCCACCCTGCATTTACTAGGTAGGTGGCAACTGCCGACACTGGTCCTCGCACGTGCCTTGATCTCTCTTGGACTGGCATGTCTTTGATGGCGGCGACTAATCTGCTCCAGATCTGGCGAACACCATTGCGAATCTCTGATGCTTCGCCCACGTGTCTAACCACTGCTTGAAACAGCATGAAGGTAATCTCACAGCGGGGTCCTGACCGAAAGCCCGAAGGTCCAGAAGTGTAGTTAGACAGCGCCCACGCCGGGACGCCCCTGCGCCGGCGCCGACTTGTCGCCGCATGTTGCGCAGCTCGGTGCCGAAGATGCCGCGTGCTTGATGTGCGTCTGCTGCTGATGCCTGTGGGCCAGCGATCTGCGCGCGCGTGGTGACGAGGTGGCACTTGGAGGCGAGGGCGTGCCCGCGCAACCATTTGCTCCGAGCCTTGGCCTTGGCCACTCGAGACACTCGGGTTGCGCGAGCAGCTCGTCGGCCACCGCCGAGACCGACTCCTAGATACCCTGCTTGACGGACGGCCTGAATGTCGATGCCTCGCCTCCCCAGCTGCTTCACCGCCGCCTTGGAGTCCGACGTGGGCTCGCACAGCGCGACGCTCTTCGACGCCAGGGTGAGCTCCTGCTAATGAAGCTCGTCACGCACCAAGTGACACCGTCCACGATCGATCTGATCACTGCTGCACTGGGCCCCCGTTGACCTAGGTGCAAATTTTCTACCCAGATACTCTGACTGGAGGTGACTCTGGCAGTGCAGAGAGCGCTCATGACGTAGTAAGTCAAACAGCGACCGAACCGAACTCTGTTGCGTAAGCCTTGCGCAATGGTGCGCGTGGCCTGGAGTGGTCTTGAATATGCTCCAAACAGAGAAACAATTATGGGCCCCATGCAGAGTTGGAGTTCCAGAGTAAGAACAGCGCGTGGTAATCCGAAATCCACTGCAGGTCCTGCGAGCTTGTTCCAGCGAGTGTGATCATAAAGTGGCTGTATATCTATCAGTGCGCAGCTGTGAGCTGCACCAAGACGATGATAGAGCTCATGGTCGACAGCTTTCATAAACGCCTCTTGCAGCGCTGAGTTGCCGGCGACAGCGGCGTCCCACTCTGTCGAGTTGTCGCCAGCCCACGATCGCGAGTGAGATTCTCTGATGAGCGACCACACCCTGCAGACCATCGCCAGGATGCCGACGATCCTGCCCCCCCGATTTCTTGGGGGGGAGGCGCCCCAGGACCGCGAGCAGCTGTGTCGGCCATGTCCGAACCTCCTCGATGGTGTTGGGCATCTCGGCCAGGGCTGCGTGCCACTCGGGAGGGGGCGCTGCGTGTCCAGCGGCGTGAGCTGGTCGATGCCGAGCCCAGCGCGCGGCTTCATCTTGGCTAGGGCAGCTCGCACCCCCTCGCCATCGATCGGTGGGAGAGTGTTGACCTCTGCCCAAGGTCTGATCTGCTGGAAGGCCTGCGCCACTTCCTCGAGGTCGAGCTTGGGGTCGTGCCAAAGAACGTGCTATTTCTGGCTTTTCTCGTCGATGACGCCCCTGGAGTGAAAGACGTGCTGGTCGCCAGCATAGATCTCGTCTTGTGCCTCTGGGTTGTCTCCGATATTTCTGTGAAGGGCGCCTTGAGCAGGCGCCGTGACGATCCAA